TGAATAACTAAACGTAACTCTAACTTATCTAAAAATTCAGCGACAGACATTAGTAAAAAGAATACAACAGAAAACATTTTTCTAAGTTCTTGATTCTAAACGAAAATTTTCAGATAACTAATATATGCAACTTTTTCTAATTCATTTGCTTGTAAGTTTTATGAATAAAAATGTTTTCTTGAGACTATCACAAAGAAAGTTGTTTTATTATCCAATAAGCTTTCATCTGAATCCATATTGCTCAGCTACTAACAATTAAGGTGTTTGTGTTGTCAGTTAAAGAGATGGCACATATTTGGGCCAAATGAAAGCTCTAACTGCCAAACTAACAAGCTTAAAATGTTAGCTGCCATTGGCTTGCCTAAAGGGAGATATTCGATTTTTATGCTACTCATGATTTGAATGTAAAGGAACATTAGGATTATTTACATTAACTTTTTAAGAAACCAACTGAGTATTTTAATAGTAGGCGTCAAGAATCTTCCTGAGATTTATCAATAGCATTAATATCATATTAGTTTCGATGTCTTCTAGCACTTAAGTCGAATCTAAATCAAAAATAATAAAGGGTGTCACATAAGTATTGTTCCCCTTCAAGTAATAGCCCTTTCTTATATGTTTTTTCGGTAGAAATGGCTAATATTTATAGCATATATACAAAATATCTAGATCTACTCTACGCTAGAATTTCAGCTTTCTATCTCTTATAATCATAGAGATACAAGTAACTTAAAATTAATAGGAGTTTTTTGAAATACTAAACAAATGGGCCAGAATAGATGACTGCGTTTTGTATTTCATTTTCTTATCATCTAATGAGTTGTATTAAAAAACAGAATATGCCACAGAATGCAGCGTGAAAAGCTTTATACACTACATTATAAAGCTTATTTTAATTGTGTACCATTTGTTTTAAAAAAATGTGAGATCAATTTTCGATGCTACGGAAAATAGTCGCGCATTTGTTGAAAATAAAAGATACACAGCTAAGATAAGTTTTCCTATGTAGATTGCAGAGCTTTTCACGCTGTATCTTGTGGTATATTCTGTTTTTTTAAGAAAAAACATTAAAGCAATAAAAAGATGAAATAAGGAAAAAGGAATTTGTTCAGGTAGAAAAAAACGTGATCTTTGAGCATCATCAAAAACCGGTCTCACAGAGTTTTTCTTTTTTTGAAAACAAAAGGTACACAATTAAAATAAGCTTTACTATGTAGGTTATAGAGCTTTTCATGCTTCATCTTGTGGTATGTTTTGTTTTTGAATGCAACTCATTAGATGATAAGAAAATGAAATACAAAACGCGGTCACTTATTCTTGCCCACCCTTTTTTTTCTAAAAAAAATTCCAATAAATTTTAAGTTACTTGTATCTCTATGACTATAAGAGATGGAAAGCTGAAATTCTACCATAGAGTAGATCTAGATGCCTAGTAAATGTGCTGTAAATGTTAGCCTTTTCTACCGAAAAATCATATAAGAAAGGGCTATTATTTGAAGGGGATCAAACTTATGTGACACCCTTTATATATATATGGGTTTGAAAAATGATTTGTGCGTATAATTTGAAATTAAAGTGCATTGATGCGTCACCTGGTGATCTATTGACCATTTCTTTGTAATTGGTGTTAAGAAATCATAGCGAAATATAACTACTATCGAAGAATTATTCTCTTTCGTTATATGCTGTATTCTATCGAGTGAAAAAGTTTATTTCATCAAATTAAAACATGAATTTATTGAACATCACTAAATATCTTCTCGATTTGACTCAAACTAAATTTGAATCTGAAAACTCTTCAACAACTACTGATGAAATTTTTGCTGCAGAACGTTTATTCGAAGTTGTGAAATCATTTAAAGATAGCAACTTCAATGAGCTGTGTACTTATGATGCTGTCGAATTTGAAGATGAATATGATGAAATGACCGATGAAGAAGAGAGCAATGAAGAAATGACTGATGAAGGAGGGAGCAACGATGAAATGGACAATTATGACGAGAATTATCATTCTGATTTAAAAAATCATTTTCCATTAGAAGAAATGCAAAATATAATCGAATGAATTGACCAACGTTCGAATGCCAGATTGGCAAATATTTCCCATTATTTTAGAAAATTCAAATCCATGACTTATATTAAAAGATTTAGAGAATATATCGAAAACAACGGCACAAGATTAGAAAAATTAAAAGAAATTAAACAATTTATGTTTAACAAATTTTATCTGAAAAGAACAATTGAAGAAGAAGCCATCCATGGTGCTGATTTTGAGCTTTATACAATTCAAAAAGCAAGAGAATTAAATTGGTATACACTCAAGGCAAGTAAAATCGTTTATCAATACTTTTAAAAGGGAAAACAGAATATCATCAAGAAGATATAATAAAATTATTATTCGAACTAAATCAAACAGAAACGTCTGCAGTTTAAATGGTAATCAAACTTTTATTTAAAATTTAAATTCATGTCTTATTGTAATATACATATATTTTTTAGATGCTCAAAACTGGATTGATAGTAAAACAATTGTAACATCAAAACATTCTTCTCATCAAATTTTAAACAGTGATCACTGTTCATTTCAACAAGAATATGTCCCACCAAGAATTCTTTCTTTTACTGGTGAACGAATCATAGAAGTGGCTGTTCCAAAGAAGCACAACTTAACTCACTCTTATACAGTACAACCTGTTACATCAGCTGATGGTCTATTATTAGAATAATTCTTACTCATCCTTCAAGAAAAAGAAAATGAATTCGGTAAAAGAGTGCAAAAGATTTAATTGTAACACCAACTGTTGTAGTAAGAGCTTCAAGATCAGGAAAAAGCAGCGGTGAAAAACATCATGCTTTTTTAAATGAAATTCTACGTCCATTGGTTGGTAAAAAATTTCTTCTCTTCCTTGATTCTTGGAAAAGTCAAGCTGATCTAATCAAATTTAGAGCAGTATGTCCTAATCAAGACAGCCACTGATTGATTTTTCTTGAAGGATCAATCGGTTATATTCAACCACAAGATCCTTCTTTGTTTCGCTCATGGCGATTTATTCACGAAAAAATCGAACATTATATTCATATTAATCAAACAGAAATGACTATAAGTGATCGTTAATATTTCATCAACATTCATTCCATTATTCACAATCAATTATCAGCTCCACAATTTAAAAATCTTATTAAGAATGTATTTTTATACAAGCTGAAATAACAAATGAAGCAATTGGGCAGAGTGAAAAACTCAAAGATGTTTGCTTTAAATTTTGCGATCTGTACTGTTCAATTATCAATTGCAATGAACGAACACTATTAATGTGTGCTTGGTGCGAAAAAACTCTTTGTTACTATCATCTGATTGAAGATCTACATCTACACTTGTAGTAGATTTGTTAAAATAGTATATTATATAATCTATTGTTTTCAGTTGAAATAAAATCGAGACTATTGGTAATTTAAAGATTCTGATAACTGCTGGCTGATCTTCATCTGTATTGATACGACTTTAGTACTAGAAGACATCGAAACTAATATGATATTGATGCTATTGATAAATCTCAGGAAGATTCTTGACACCTAATATTGAAATACTCAGTTGGTTTCTCAAAAAAATTAATGTAAATAATCCTAATGTTCCTGTATATCCAAATCGTGAGTAGCATAAGAATCGAATATCTCCCTTTAAGCAAGCCAATGGCAGCTAATATTTTAAGCTTGTTAGTTTGGTAGTGAGAGCTTTCATTTGGCCCAAATATGTGCCATCTCTTTAACTGTCAACACAAACACCTCCATTGTAAGTGATGTAGTCTAATCATTCTTTCTTGCTTTGTGAAGAACAAGTTTTTCTATACTCTATTATCGCATCATACCTCAGCATCACAAGTACATAATCTTCCTAATTAAATCCAAAAATAAATTCAAACAAATGATAGCGTATCAACAATTAACAAACAAATACAAATTTTTTTAGTCAATTTATTTTCTACTTTTTTCATAAATGAGAAAAGAAAACAAAGTTATAATCGGCAAGTGAGTCTTCGATACACTTTTTTCATAAAATCTGTCGATGCTCGTCGAAAAACTGTGCCACCACTTATTGTATAAACATAAAATGGCATACCACTTGCTACAAAAGCCAGAATTACTTCAATATTATATAGAAAAATATTTATGGCATCTTCTCGTTCGCTAAGTATATAAAATGGTTTAAGTGAAATATAAAATTTTTGTGCTGCTTGTGGAGTACAGAATAAAGTTAAAAGAAGAACTTGTACTAACAACATTCGAAGTAAATGACGATCAATTTTTTTTATTCTTAATTCTTCTGTTCTTGATGGTATGACTGTTGATAGAGTTGTTCTTGTTTGTATACGATTGCGAGCATGATGCACATTTGCAATAATCATTAAACCAAATATAATCATTATAATTAATGGAATTATTATTGTTATAATAGCATAAACTAAATCAGTTAGCATACGACATTCTACTGACTTGCCATAACATTTTAATGGTTCATCATTCATATTAGCTTTATAACAGATAATCATATGAGTATAAGAAATAATCGATACAATTACAACAATGACTATTTCTCGTTTAACATTTTTCAAATTGCTCATTTGTCGACGGTGAATATTAACTGATGATAAAAACCATCGATCAATTGTAGCTAATGCAATTAGCCATATTGCCATTGTTCTGGTACTAAATACCATAAAAACCCGAGTTTTACATGCCCAATCCATTGTGTTTGTTGGATCATGATGCCAACCAGCCAATATTCGAGTTGGTAAACCAGCTACCATAGAAATAAGACCGATAAAGGATGAAACCAGAAAAAGTAATGCACATGGATTTGATCGAAGTGTTCGTTTTGATAGAATAAGACAATTAAAAGTGTTTCCTACTACACCAAAAAGAAATATAATAGGTGCTAAATATCGATTGAGTTGATCAGAGGTAAATTGTAATGTTTCAATAAGTTCATCAGTCATTGTAAATATTCTTGTTTAAAATAAAATATGTAAGATAGTATTCTATATCAAGAGCAAGTTGACCTGGAATCTAAAATATTTTCAGTCATACAATTGACGAAAGAATAAATGCTAAGTAGAATAGTAGCTTACAGACGTTATAAGACGTTTTGTTCTATATTCAAGAAAATATTGAGATTTTCTTAAAGCTTTTTGAGTTGACGATGTTTTCAGCTTGTTTTAGAAAGTATACTGAATAAGATCTTCTATTCAGAGAGCTAAGTAATAAATATCAACTACCGTTATGTAAGCACAATGGATTTTCCTGAAAGAAAAAAACTACAGATATACTAACCAATAAGAGGATAATAATAAATTCATAAGTATCTCTTAATAAACTATTTTATCTCGCTTTTTATTGTAATTTTATCAAACTGAAGTGCACTAATCGAACTTCTTTATTTATGACCTGTTTTATAAATGTCATTTGAATATTGTCTTCCGATAAGCATTCTGTTTACTGAAGCGAAGTTCCATCTTTAAGAAAAGCGATTAATTCAACATCGTTAGAGTCTATTGTTCTACTTTCAATTAAAAATCTTTTGTAAATGCCTTTGCTCATCCTACCGATAACTCCATTTATTTTAAAACAAAATTAAAAAGCTTTTTATTCTTTCATAGTTTTACACCTACCTATCGTGCTATATATTTTCATTAGGTGACCTATGAGCACTGTAGATTAATCTCACTGAGGACAGCTTTCTACTTCATGGACTCAAGCAGGTCTTGACGAGCTGTATCAAATACACTAATTTTATCCAACTGAGATGGAGTCATTATTGAAAGAAAAGTGATCAACACGGCACGTGTCTATGTAGCATATCCATAATGAATAAAAAAAGGTTTTTCTATTTGAATTTTTTATTCAACTGGACCCACATCAAAACTTGATGGATTGAAGAAGACCTTGACGACTTGTATAAATTGTGCTAGTTTTTATCAAACTTTCATAGAGTCATCATTAAGAGAAAACCTCATGAATGTTGCACGTACATATCTAACATAAGAATAAGGAGAAGACAAGCTTTTTATTTTATTTAAATGTGTTATTGAACCGAACCAGGCTGTACAAGTAATGAAGCCGAATAGATATTGACGCTCTCTATTAAATGCACTGAATTCTCTCTAATTTCTTTGGTCATTATTGAGAAAAAAGTGATTAACCTGGCACGTGCCCATATAACATGTGCATAATGACTAAAAAAGTTTTTTTTTAATTTTAGTTATTTTTTCCAGTTGGACTCGGATCTAAAATTGATGAACTTAGGTAAGTCTTGATGAACTCTTTGAAATTTACTAATTTTTGTCCGATTCCAATAGAGTCATCATTGAGAAAAAATCTCGCAAACGTTATACATGTATATATAACTTATGCATAACGAAAAAAACTTTTTTTTTGCTGAATTTTATTTGTCATCTGATTGGACTTGGGTTTGAAATTGTTGGAACCAAACAGATCTTAACGAACTCTATGAAATACACTAATTTTTATGCAAGTTCGATTGAGCCGTTACTAAGAAAAGTGCACATATATTCATGTGTCATATGTATACTAAATAAAATTGTTTTATACCAATTTTTCTTCTTGGAGATGAAATAAGTGTAGAATCAGGAGTTATTAGAAACAGATGATATCTACAAGGTCTTTTTTTGTTAACTTTCGAACCTTTCTTTTAGATCTTAGCATGAAATGTTTTGATGTGCTTGTAGATGAAAACTGATGTATATTATTCTCAATAAGATAGTGTAAGATGATATAAATATTTGAACAGCTTTAGCTTATACCTGTTTGAAATGAAAATAACTGTTGTGTTTTTTCCTCACTTCTTTTTGCTTTTTTCAACCTTTTGTACATTGTAGAACTCCATTTTTTGCATTTTTTTATCTTTTATTGTTCATTTATATCGTATTTCAATAGCTCGAGAAACATTTTCGTGTAACTCATTAGATGTATGAAGCATCTCTTGTATGAAAGTTTCAATTTTATCAATCACTTTTCTCTTTTTGATTTCCACACATTTGATAATGTAAATGAGAATTGAGGTTGAAAAGAGACATATGATTGATACAATATACGCTCCGACATGAAAAATAATGTAGGTCATTGGAAGACGTAATGACGAACACAAGTTGGAAACTCATTTACTCATTACAAAGACTTTCAGTCTTCTTTTATCTTAAATTCAGTTTATAGAAATATTTATTATTCTTTATTTAAATGTTTTTTGATTTGTCTTGACGATCTCTACTATGAAAATAGGACAAAAATTAGCGTATTTTGTAGAAGTCATCAAGACTTACTTAGATCTATCAAATGAAGAGTTGAATTCAATCAGCAGGTGAATCGTAACGATAAAGACAAGAAAAATGGCATGTTTTAGGTTAGGATTCGCACTTTTTTGTGATTTAGTTGATCAAAAATGAAAAAAATGAATTCAATGCATCTTCTAGAGCTTGTTGAGTGCTAGCTAGACTCCCATCGATGAAATTCTGTTCAATGGTACAGTGTATTGCTATTGGAAATACTCGAATCTTGATCTAACTACTAACGACAAAATTACTGAGAATTGTATTTTTGATCTAAAACATAGAGTTTCAGGTCAGTGAAAGTTTTCTCTACTATATATATGAATATTACAAGTGTAGAAGTTTATAATACAAAAAAATTTAATATAAAGATACAAAGTGTTGATATATTTCCGGAGTCTTTTAAAAAAAAGACCCAGGAAGTATATCAATGTTATTCAAGCATATATTAAAAAGACTCAGGAAGTATATCAACACTATGTACTTTTATATTCAATTTTTTTTTGTATCATAAACGTTTACACTTATACTATTCATATATATCAAAGAAAACTTTCGCTGACTTTAAATTTTATGTTTCAGATCAAAAATATGATTATCAGTCATTTTGTCGTTGATAGTAAGATATCCTACGTTCTATTATTGAATTATTCATCTGTCTTGTTGAAAAAGTCATCGAAGTCTAATTAAAAATTAGAAATAGCCTTCAATAATTGGATTCACCCTTCATGTTTCGCAGTATTTATTTTTTAAGCAAAGTCAGTTACATTTTGCACGAAGTTCTCTTAATCTTTTTTTTATGGAATTTTTCAACCAATTGAATATTGACGTACTCTGCTGTCATAGTCATTTTTTCGAAATTACTTTAATCAAATAAACCATTCAATCAACTTTGGAACTCTCAAGTAACCATTAACTAAGTATTATATCTTACATATTATATTCTTTCATATGAGCAAATGTCTCTTTTACTGTATAATTTGACACATTATCTTAATGAAAAATCTTTTTTTTTCTTCCGCATACTATCGATATCATTGTGTTCAAGTTTCTTTTGTATATTTCTTCGGTTAAAATATTACTTATAACATTATATAGAATTCTAGCATTTTCTCTTGCATTAAAGTAACGGTAGATTTCATCATTTTTGTGTCTTGTATCAAACAAACGACGAAATACTTACTAAAAATTCGATTGTTTCTTGACAATGACAGCTAAATATAAAGCATGTGTTGAGTCCTGTTTTTACGATATTTTCTATGCATACTACTATGAATAGCATTAAAAATGGTACCAGTACTTGTATAATATTTTGAGGCTCTGAAAGGGATTTTGAAGAATTTTTCTTAATTAATGTACGATGTAATGCGATCAACAATGGCTAATATTGCTACATTAGGTTTACGACAAAAATTTTGACTCTTAACTATGTCATAATCACTATTGGTGATGCTTTTCGAATTGATTAGTTATATGACTGTATATTCATTTTGATGAAATTTGGATAATTCTTATTAGATCGTAGAATATAAATACTTCTTTTTTCATTGAAAATATTTGAAGATTCCTCTATGATATTATATGAAATTTTTTATAATCAGTCATTCGTTTATCTAAAATATAAATATCATGACAAACATCAACAATGTCATAGAAATCAAATTAAATGAAAATAATTAAATCTATCTGGATTACTAATGAAGAAAAACAAATTTCAAATATATTTTAATCACTTATTTGCAAAACTTTGAACTCAATAAACAATATTTACTTCTGTTTTGTTTTTGATAAGAATAGAATGAACTTTGATAAGATAAAAACATATCAATAATTACCTATAGAATATGGCCAATCAGAGAATAGACATAATTATGAGATAGTCTGTCTAGGTTTTGTCTCAAAAAGTCTTCGTCCATGAATAGTTGACATTTTACATAACATTTCGATATCTAAATAATCCTGAAGTAGTTTTTGAATGAGTTTTTCTTTAGAAAAAGACTATACTTATTACGTGTAATAATGTCCGTTAATGAAGCTTTCGGTAGGGATTCAATGATTCAGCAGACTAGCCTTAGATAGGTCGAATCGACATGGCTACATTTGGAAGAAAGGGTTTTTTTTTGAAACCGACTAAAATAAGTTTCCGAAGTTCGGAAACCCTAAAGGATTTCAGCTATGAATAAAATCGAAACCTTTTTAGAGTTTCTAAAAAATTGATGCATTTCTGAAATTCAGAAGCTCTTCAGGGTTCCAATTGTGCCACTATCTAAAATCTTTCAAAGGTTTCCGGGTTTGGAAATCCATTTTTCTCTTTTGAAAAATCTACAACAGGTATCTGAAGTCAGTCCGAAAATCTATTTCGATTTTTGAATGCTCGAAGCCTATTTTTGTCGGTTTCCGAGAAAATCTTTTGTTTTTAGAATGTAAAAAAATACTCCACATTTAACCTACCATTAGCTCACTTGGGTTGAAAAAACAGTTCTTTTTTTCTTTGAGACAAATGAGTAAAATATAAATTTATGACAAAATTGCTAAATTTTAGATCGTTCACTAGTTTTTTCTTCTACCATATTGTTCGGAAACTCCGTGCAAGACATATACTATGAAATCTAAGGATAAAAACTAAAGGATGTTTTCCGTGCATTAATCTTCACTTGTAACTATACACTGCCTATAAACATGCAGACTTTGTATGCTTTTAGAAAAAGATTTCGAATCAAGATCACTCAACTATAAAAAACACAACAGTTATTATCTTACCGTTTCATAATAAATGCGTTGTACGGACTTTGCGAACAAACTGATAAGTTAATGATGTAATGTTGTTCGGCTTTTTAAAAGCTTTTTTGTAATTAATTGACATTCATAAAAAGAACAGTGATATATCAATTTTTCAATGCAAGATTTAGTTCACAACTTGTTAGTATTACTAAGAATGACGTCCTTCATAAAAACTCTTAACATTATGCATTCTTATGGAATAATAGATTCATTGTTGTGTGTAAATGCATAAAGACGTTTTTTTTTGATAAATGCGCACTTGATAAAACTTCCCTATTTAGACGCCAATCATAGCACATCATGCATCACGTTTTAGTTTTTAATATTTTTCTATATACTTATCTGAGATTAAACTTAAGAAGAAAAATCTATACTGAATCTTTTTTACATTCACAAAAGCTCAGTTCAAAACCTATTCGATTTTGATCGATAATAGTAATAAAATAAATTTTGTATTGCTACTATATTTTTTCAAAACTTTTGACATAAAATAATATTCAATTTAAAACGTTTGCTGATTTGAATATTAAATTAATTAGTATGGAATTTATTGATTTAATACATATATTTTTTTTTCGAGTCAGAAAATTTGATCTTTGATGATTCGAATGGTTATAGACAAGATTAAAAACTGTTATTGACCTAGATTTACTTTCGACTGAAATAAAATTAACGACTCAAATCACTCATAACTTAATAAGGTTCATCAAATTCGAGGGAATTAGTTAGTGACAACTGTATCTCTTCAAAAATTTAGATTCAAAAGAAGCTATCAGATAATTTTCTCACATTTATCTTTATATTTAATTATCCTGCGTATTATGAACTAGGGATTTCGAAAATGAAGTGGAAGCATTAATTGATACTGAGAGTTGATAGACGTCACCAAGGAGAAAAACAAACAACCATTCGACTTGTCCACGTAACCGGCACTTCACTGCTTAAGTTTAAAAAAATTCTTTTAAGCCGGACAGATCTGAATGAGTTACTAGAGGCAGTTTTTAACGCTGATTATGGATTTGACATTTATTTTGTAAAAAATTAAATTTTGACATCGAAAACGGGATTTTAAACTTTTCAAAAATCGTATTGTGAATTTTTTAACTAAGAAACTTTCTCAAAAAAAGATGTCAAGAGACATATCAATCGATACAGAATTTCAGTCTCTACAACACGGCCTATTTAGTTTTGACTTTTGTAGCTAAGAACAACTTCTAGACTCTTATACAGCTCCTAACTTATTCTATAGTTTATGAGCTCCCATGTCGATGTATCGATCTGATTCTTGCATAGAACAACTCTATGTACGCACAATGACCAACATTTATGAAGATCAAACATATCTGAGCATGTTAAGTGCCTTAAAATTGATCGACGAAAAATTGTGTCGCAGCGTTACGCTTGTTTTTTGCGTTTTTTTTTATCTAACCAAAAATAGTTTAGAGAAAGTTCTTTTAGCGTTTAAAAGCCCGTTCGAAGTTCTACAAAACTGACTCTAGAAGTGTTTCATTTGGAGAAATACTTTCACAAGGAATTGGAGTTTCATAAGCAGCCCTGCAGAAAAAGGGTCTTTTTATGTTATAGCGTTTTGTGACCAAAAGTCTCTTCTGGAAGCTCGAGTGTTTAACCAAAAAACGTCGTTTTTATAATACAAATAGAGCATGATAAGCTGCGTCGAATAGCATTTGAACGAACTTTCTAGCTGTCATAGTTTCCTAGATAATCGAAAAAAGTATGTCAAAAATGTCATAGAGTTACGTTTGAACAAGCCGCATTGTAGAATAAAAATCTTGATTATTATTTTAGATCTATATATATGTTGTTTCATAACGCACAAAAAAGGGTAATATCTATCTCTTAAAAGATTCATCTTGCTTTTCAAGATGAGTGAATCAACATTCTGACAATTAAAAATCATATGGGTTGAGTATAATGTCTATTTTAGATGTTCTCAAATAATCAATTTTTTTGTATCATTTACAAATCGTAGTTGTTATGTCTGTCATATGATGTAGCACTAATACATTGCTTTTTTTAGGAGGTTTTTTAAAATAATTTCTTGAATTATTGAATCCAATTTCATAAGAATAAAATGTGATACTAATTAATTAGATCAACATGTAATCTTTTGTTGCATTTGTCGTAGTAAATTCATAGATGCTTTTCGAAAAACACTTCCACCAGCTAATACATAAATATAGAATGGCATTGCAGTTGCCATGAAAGCTAGAAGTATCTCAATGTTATAAAGAAAAGTTTTTATGGCATCTTCTAATTCAGATCCAGAACCAAACGGTTTGACTGTTATGTAAAGTTTTTGAATAGCCTGCGGAATACACAATACTATTAGTAAAAATATTTGTAGTATAAGCATACGAAGTAAATGACGATCAGTTTTCTTTGAATGTGCATTAGCACGACTACTTCGATCCATAGTCCTTAAAGGAGTTCCTGTGGGTACTACACGAGTATGAAGATGATGCACATGTGAAATCGTTAATAGACCAAATATAGTCATTAAAATCAATGGTATTGTTATGGTCAGTATTACATAAGTTAGATCCGTAAGAAGACGACATCCTGCTATTTTTTCATAACATTTCAATGGTGCATCCATATTATTAGCTTCATAACAGGGAAACATATGAATATGAAAAAGAATTGATAGAATCACAATGATAAATACTTCTCGTTTAACATTTTTTAAATTACTCATTTGACGACGACGAATATCAATGGATGATATTAACCATCGATCAATTGTAGCTAATGTAATCAACCATATTGCTATTGTTCTTGTACTAAATACAATAAAAACACGAGTTTTACATGCCCCATCCATTGTATTTGTTGGATCAAGATGCCAACCAGCCAATATTCGAGTTGGTAGACCAACTAGAATGGAAATAAGATCAATAAATGATGAAACAAGAAAAAATAATGCACATGAATTTGATCGAAGTTTCGGTTGTGATAAAACTAAACAGTTTAGAATATTTCCAAATGTACCAAAAAGAAATATAATAGGTGCTAAATATCGATTGAATTGATCGGAGATAAAATTTAATGATTCAATAGCTTCATTACTCATTGTAAAAGTTCTCGTTTAAGCTTAAATATAATACCAAAGATAATACTAAAAAAGAAAATTGAATAGAAATCTAAAATGTTTTCCAGCGAAAAAAAAACGGATTAAGAACAAGACTAATAATACACACGCCAGTGACTATATTGATAATTTTCTGATATCATATACTTCTTAAATCAGCTCTGCAGAAGCTCATCAGTATTTTCTCAACTTGAGAAACATCGAAATCATACTGAGAAATATCATAAATAAAAATTAAAACTTTTTTCTGTAAACAGTAAACATTTAATGATAGTAATCTTCACAATATGAAAATGACATATTTACATATTTAAAAAAATGAGAGAAGAAATAGAAACTAAATGTCATTGTAGACGGATAAATAAGTACGAAATTCTTTATAATCTTTATATTGATTTTGCATTTAAAAAACCAAAAGGTATTTATTGAAGTAAAAAAGAGTTATGCTACCTAATGGAAACATTAAAATAATTTCTGATTTTCTTTAGTATTTATCGATGTCAATCATGAGTTTTTTGTTAGTTTCTTTTATGTTGATTAAACGGAAAGCTCATGTAGAAAGCTATTTAATTCAAATTAAAGAAAAGCTTTTAATACATTTATATATTCTAGATGAAAAGACAAGACTATTTATGTCCTGTCTATTCATACATTCTAGATAAGGAAGCCACTCTATTTACATCCTACACATCGACTAGAATTATATTATGATGTGCCGTTTGAATTCTAAAAAGAAAAACAAGTTCGAAATATGTTCATGGTGTATTACTAGAATTTCATACCGTTTATTGAAGATAGATTTTCATCTTGAGTTTAAATCAATTTAATAAGAAAAAAACGAAAATATTTCAAAGGTTTAAATATGATGAGTAATATAATTTTGGTTCTATCTTTGAATAAAAAACTCTTATGTACGTATTTACATATTGAATAATGTATGAAAAGGAAGCTATTAATAAACACGTAGAAGAGGAAGTAGTCGATCAAAAGATAGACATATCACAAGACGCATATACTTATTAGAAATTATTTTATTCAATGGAAAAAAAATCTTTATCTACTAATAATTTATGTACTTTAACGGTCGAAATAATGTGATGAAAGAAGTAAAAGTGAATTCGTAGTTTTTATTGGTTGAATAGAAATTGACGAGTAATCCTTCTTTTCTTTTCACAATGAATTTTTTTTTCAACGCATCATGTTGTCTAGAAAGTCCGTACAAGACATATACTATGCTACTTAAAGATAAAAACTATAGCATGAAGATCAGTACACTGATCTTCACTTGTAACCACTCGCTGCCAACAATCACGTAGACTCTGTATGCTTTTAGAAAAACATTTCGAATCAAGATCACTCAAGTATTAAAAACACAACAGTTATTATCTTATCGTTTCATAATACATGAATTTCACGAATTCACCAGACAATCTGATAAATTAATTGAATATTAATTTTATGATTAATTTGTTTAATTTTAAGAAAAATATTGTTCATATTTCTGAAGATCAAGATGTAATTCTCTTTCAGCTGAAAAAAACACAAATTCTTAAAATCGTCGTAAAGTCTTTTCAAAACTAATTGATATTATTAAAAAGAATACCATTCATGTCAGCATTGCTGTAGAAAACATTGTATATTACAATAGTATCCTTAAGAAAGGCATTCGTGATAAGAAAAAGAATCTTTTGATTTTTACGTTATGCCATTAAAATATAAATTGATGCTTGCATGTCAATAGAGAAATATCTTGTGAATTAGATATGTCATCATGCACTTAAACATAGATAAATCTACATCGTGTATTCAATTATTTCACGATTCTAGCACTTTTTCTTCTATGATTCGGTTAGATTTACAATCATATTTATGTAGTACAAAATAATGTGTAATAATTCGACCTAGTTTGACATCCATTTATAAGTTTTATTATAAATAATTTTCGATATCTATTTTGAAAAATTTCATAATGTAAAAAACCTTTAACTTGATCTAATTGCAAAGACTGAGTCCTCTAAGCAACAGTAATGAGTTCAGCATACTCGAAAAAGTAACCTTGCTGAACGTTGTTTTAGTGCATGAATATTTGATGATTCCTGATCGAATATTTGGTTCATAGTCGATGACGTGTTGTGAAACTATGTTCACTAGTTAGCTACTCAGTCAAATGCAAAAACTAAAAAAAGAATGTAAGTACTTGTAAAATGCTACATTGACAAGCACAATATGCTCTCAAATGACATAGGTGTCAACGTGTCCTAATGTAAATTAGTTACATTAGCGATTATACACAATGGAAATATATTCACGTTCATACATTTTATTGTCGCATGTAAGTACGTACAAACACTTTTTTAACGAAATCTCACATGCACATGTAAGAAAATCCTAGAATAATAAAAAAAAGCAAAGCATATGTTTCAATCATGCATGAATACATTGTAGTATTTGCTAGAGATAAGATTCCAATATACACGATTTGTTTTATAACACGAATTTATTCATCATTTGACTTATTCACTTTCATTAGAAGTGAAATCAAAGCTGAAAAATATTATGGTGCTCCAATAATTATTCCTAGGTCGTTCCAACCGCTGGGTGACTGTGGTTATTCTGCTAAATCTATTTTGTATCTCAGTACATGAGTAGTTTTCAACTCTTAGAAAAATGTTAGGTTTCAGTCGAGATTACGTCATTACAAAAATAGTCTTTAGCCAGAAGCCTTGATCACAAGAAAAAGGTGTGACGCCATCGGACATAGTATACTGTGGGATATTAAAGTGGACTTTATTGAGTTGAAACCATTTTCTTCAAGTTTTAAAATTTTACTGAATCTTGATAAAAAAAAAGGAATACACCATTCGAATCATCGATTTCAATAAAAAATTGACGACTTGGGTTAAGCACTCGTGTACATGAATGCAAATACCTGAAGAATTTTAAAAGAGTGAGCAAAATTTTTAACTTAATATGGTTTGGTTATATAGAAGAGTAGTATCATTTTACCAACAAATACATAAATATGCGTCAAAGAAAACGCTTAACTCTTTCCACGTAAATAAAAACCTGAAAAAATTTATTATAACCAAATCTTTACACTTTTCTGCGAATGGTTATATATTATTATTTTTCAATAGATGATAATTTATTATTACTTATCGATTGATTTCAATCTAGTATTATCTGTTAATCAAGTTTAATCTATTATTAGCTTTAAATCAGATTTCATCTGTCGCTACAGTTCAATTGGTACTAATCATGCATATTGAAGATAAGTGAGTTTCTCCAGACTCGAACGCGAAATCACTAATTTTTCTGTTTACAAATGATAAAGTGGTCACTGAGCCCAAGTTACTCAAAATATAATATATTTAAAATCTCCATATAAATTGTTTTAAGTTGAGATGATGTAACTCTATATTGAATTTAACCTTAAAGTGCTATATTTAATCGATTTTTTCCGATTATTCGATGAAAAACGATTATTAGTCTATTAGGAAACGATTTTTATCAAAAAAAAAGAATTCCAAAAATTTACAATATTATTGAGTGTACTGATTAATTCTGAGAACAATCGATGAAAAACCTACAAAGCACATCGTTTTAATCGATTCTTAACAGCCAACTGCTCCATTTTGAACCAGTCTTCTTTGATTTTCATCAATTGAAAGCAATTTCTTTATCATAAATAAATCGGTTATATTCGAAATTAAACAGAATAATCGATGAAAATTTGATATTTTTTCCATGATTTTAGAGTAAAATCAAATAATAAACTATCAGAATGTATTGAAATTGATTATATCATTAAATTTAATTTGAAAGTAGCACATTTAATCGCATTTTTGTGAGTGTTATCGAAAAATTCAGTTTTAATCTAATTGTTTGACTGGCTCTTTTTTTTACATGAATTGCCTGGATTAGCATTTAAACCAGAACATAGCTGAAATTTACACGTTGATACAGAATTGATTTGGTAATAGTTTTCCTAAATATAAAAATTTTGCATTGGCATTCAGCATTTAACAAAATTCTAATCATCCTGCACGTAAACGGAACTAACACTTTGGCATTTACTTGTGAGACATATATCTTGCATGAATATGCTGAAATATTATATGCAATTTTTTGCAAGGAGAGAATTCATGCATATGGTTGTCAAATGTACGGCTATGTATGTGCTACTGTTTTGCATTTATAGGCAGCAATGTCTGACGTTTCAGATACCTTGTATATTCATGCATGAGATGCAACTACTGGAAAAATATCTTGCAAGTTAACGCGAGTTTCTGAAAGTTTTCCGCAAATGCACGTATTTTTCAAAGTTTCATGTTTGATTGGATGATTAAGTGGTCAGAATTATTTCATTTTCAAAATCTTTAAGTCTCAATCAAATATGAAAAAATGTTCAAGTTACTGAAGGCTACGTGTGACATGCTGGTAACAAGACGTACGTTTGATGACTCTAAATTCAGTCTTTCCAGTGTAGCCACTTTCATCCTATAAAATGATAGAAACATATTCATGAAATTAGTATGCTCAAACGAATAAACTTGTTCCTTGTATATACATATTTGATTTCAACCGACAAAAATTGCAAAAGTCCTCTCGAAATTTCGATATTTATTTCTTAAAAGAAGAATATGACATTGACTTTGATTTATTTGTTTTTGTGCAGTTCAATTCAAACGAATATTGACAAAATCCCTTTAGGACGAGTCACGTATATGTAGATGATAGTTCTGAATTAATTCGCAATCGAATTATGAGCTTCTCTTATGATACTATCCGAATGTGCTTGAAAACATTGGTCATAGACCAAAAGAGCTCTTTAGGTACAGCTAATTATTTCTTTTATTTTCTTATGAGTCGTTGTACGAGAGAAACAATCAAATCGTTAATGAACTGGTCGATCGAATTTATTTCTGCCTTAAACATAGGTCATCTTGTAATCTAATCTACTTTACCTAGATGCTAACACTATTCATTCAGGAAAACATTGATTTATCAGAAATAGTTTGTCCTATACGCATAAAAATTTCTTCATACATATCTTCCAACACACTCTACGTGTTCATACTATTAAAAAGGTTCTATTCAATAGATAAAGAAAAATTCAGCAAATTTAGTGAGACTTTTATCTATTTTTCTGTATATTTCATGTTGAAAAAATATTGTTGTGTTGGCAATAAGACTTCACTGCTGTAGTAGTGAAAATTCAATTTATTCAGAAACAGTTGTGAAGTTGCAGACTGATGAAGGAAGGAGTCCGAATTTATACGACGAGAAGAAGCTTACCAGAATGAAAAAAATAAACCAAATTGGCTAGCAGAAAAGTCACTTTTGTGATCCTCAATATATTTCGAAATTCTATGTAGGAATCACCAAAGATTTGGTTTCATGATATCTTTTAATGAATTTTTCTATGCCTATAGTCCTCCGGAGACTATGCAAACATTCTATTATTTTCAAAAGTAACTCCACCCTGAAGGAATTAATAAATATAAAAAATTTGTATCATACTTCTCTTACAGACTATGATAAACACTTCCAGTAACACTATAGCTTTCCTTCTTCTCTCAAATCATATTCGATTTAACCATGAAACTAACGTCTACTTTAAGATATCGTAACACAATTAATTTCTACAGTAAGATAATTAGTGGTGTTAAATCGTCTAGTAACACCAAGTTAACAATCAATTTTATAGTAAAAATAATGAAAAAGACAAACAAAAAAAACATAAATTGTGTGATATTTTGATATAATGCTTGATCAATATTAGTAAAAACAAATCATCATGACTCATTTGAACAAGTATGTTGTTACAGTAAAAAACTCATATTCGTTGTGAAAATATTTTACACTATCATAATATGTCAATTATTTGTTTTTCTTTTAAAAAATTAATACTGTGATTCCTTTGATGTACTTAGTCAATATGAGAGATAAATAGCGAACTTTTTGATCCCAAATTACAGAATCCGATATAGTTTATATGGCAAGAAAAAGTAAAAGAACATTCAACTACAATATTTTGCAGAAAAATCTTTTTCCTTCAAAACAAAGCATATGTGCAGCTTCTATGTAATTTTTGTAGCCTAAGAAAATAAATACAAAATTTGAAAACAAGACAAATCTTGATCGTACTGTAATTATGCTCTAACTTATGCATTAACAATTATATAGCCTATGGAATAGTCTTCTTTTATAGTGAAAATATTTCCTCGTTCAATTAGGAAACTTATATAATTATATAAGTTTTTTTTCTATTATCAAGTTCTCTAAACAAAGACTTCTTCTAGAGAGAATATAACATATTTCACAAGAAAAATAAAAAAACTAACATTAACTAATTAAATCAATGTGACATCTTTTGCCTCACTGTTCATATTATATGCCTATAGCCATACATGCTTTTCAGAGAATATTTTTTCACTAGTTAATGCATAACTATAAAATAGCATTACCATAATCATAAAAGCTAAAACGAATTACTTTAATGTTACGAGGAAAAGCTTTTAGAATATTTAATTTTAATGATGCTTAATATTTTGATTTGTCGAAAAAAATTTGCTTTTCTATGGATGATGAATTGAATATGTTAATTGTCTTTTGTTGTTCATCATTTTTCTTCAGCTTTTTTCGTTTGAATAATAAAGTATAAACCATTATGAAGACTTCTTATTTCGAACATTCTATTTAATAACATCAAAGAACAATTTTATGAACTTCTTTTGTAGTAAAATGAGATATGATAACAATCGTATTAGTATGTTTAAATCAAAGCAAATATATTTTCTAAGAGAAGCAGCGACTCTTAATGATTATCAACTAAAATAATTATATAAAAATGAATGAACAATTCACGTTTTGATGAATGTTATATTAATTACTGTATTTTTCATCAATAATAAAACGTTGAAATTATCTTTACAATTTCAAAAATGTTACAACAATTTTGATGTAATTAATCTTAAGCAAAATTCTTCTTATTGAACATTTTTATTCTTGAAAATTTCTATTAAAATCAAAATCAAGAAAAAAAACTATTTTGTAAAGTTGGTAGAATTATATTTGCGGAATAATTATATTAAATAACATAAAATTCATTTAATAATGTTATTTTGCACGTATCTAAAAATATTTATAGAGCAAAATAACATATTTTTTCTCTTTTGTTTTCTACAATAAATCTTTAACATTAAGTTTTTATTTGAGAATAATAACATTGATAGAAATTTCTTTGCAGCAAACTAGGTATGTTACGTATATATATCGTGATATCAAAGAAAAATATTTTTTCACATTAATCATGCCACAAAATGAGTTGTTTTTTTAATTAGAATAGATTTAGTTTGCCGACAAATTATTTGAATTTATAAATTATTAATACTTTAATCCAAAAAAAAAGCATTCCCTTTCTTCATTATTAAAGGAAAATGATCAAAAAAATCACATTCATACATAAATGTAAGTTCATCGTACACAAGAACCTTCGGCTTTTGATTCTTGAAATATGTTATTTTCTGATTGCTTGACCTACGTAGTGGAAAAACTCTCATATCATACATACCTAAATATGATATATATCTAATAGATGTATTCTATTCATCTGAGTACAGATCAAATATTGAAATAGCAAGATATCTTTAAATAAAGTATGTCCATATTCTAGTTACACATGCAGCATAACGTTAGCAATTCAATTCTTTGAACAAACATTTAAATATGTAGATGTTAGAGTTACTATAATCTTTAGGTTAAATTTTTGACTTCAAATTTCCTCAAAAATGCATTGACTTATGTTTTCATAGGATAAGACTCAACGAAAGTAAAGTAACGAATAACTTATGACATTATTAAACTTCTCTTTCATCTTCGTTCTGTAGATTAAACTTAGTTTAATAGTGAATTTTTTTTTTAATTTTCATCTATTGATACATTTATCATATTGCGCCATCTTTGTTATTTTAAGCGACTACCTACAGCGAATAGTCCAATCATTTTTTTTTTGCTTGATGACAAACAAACATGCGCAGTAAATATTAACCATTGACATAGTGACAGACGCTTTGAAGACGCGTATCTTTGAGTGACCAATTTAAAATACACTGTGTCATGTTATTTTTATGAGTAGCTAATAAATTAAGGTTGAAATATACTCAAAATCAACATAACTTGAATAGAATTTCTGTTAAATATTTTTCTAGTCACTATTAAAAAGAAATAAAAAGATGACGCTTTGTGTTAATTATCTGTGACAGTAGCAGAATGTTGAAAATTTATTAATTCTTAAGGAATCTTCAGATTTAAGTCGAGATCTTGATTTCGTGCATTTTTTGAGTATGCTTAAGTAGCCTGTGTATTAACTAAATCGATTGTTTTAATTTAGCTGTTGAGTGTTATTATTTATAATAAAGATGACGCGAGTTAATGACAATAGAAAAATAGAAAAAATAAAAATATGATATAACGATGTTGTAAGCTATGTGTAATTTTTCAGTAAAACTATTTTTTTTAATTAATTCATTTATAAAAAATGACCTTGACAACTGCATCAATATATTCATTTAAGAAATGACGGATGAATCATCAACATCAACGAACAGATCACATGTTGAGTTATGTAGAGGGGCAAGCGCACCAAGACAAAAAGACACAATATATATAACCTCTGTCACTTCGAGAACATTAACGCTTTAGATATTGTTCGGAGAAAAAAACAAAATGCATTATATTCATTTTCATAGAAATATTGATGCTAAATTTTAAAAAGCTATACATGGTCTTAAACGTTCGATTAAGTATATTATGACCTTACGTACCTAATCTAATCGTAGGTTTAATACAAATTTTTTTTTCGTTCTATCTTAATCTCTGTTTACAAGCAAAGATTTTTTTTTAGCATTGTGAAAAATTTGACACGTGCACAATTTACTTTTGAAAAGAAATTGTAAAAACATACATTTTTATTGCGTAAACGAAGTGTAAAAAAACAAAAGTAGTTATATCTAGCTTATCATTCGAAACATTGATTATACTTCATTATATAGCTGAAGTATGTACGACCTAGATAAGGTAAGTATCTCTTTATAAAGAATGTTTTTTTGTACTTAAATTCAAGCCAATGACCTTGAAGAATCTTTTACAGAAAAAAAAAATAAAAAAATTCACTTGTAGGCTTTCATTCGTAAATAAAAACAGAGTCTGTCAAGCAATAGTTTATTGATCATTTTTATAATAATCATTACTATATCAAGTACAATATATATATATTCCATCTGACATAGTTAATTAATAATTCAAAATGCTATTTTTTTTAAAAAAGAAAAACAATTCTATTTTAACGTAGAAAATAAATTTTAGTATGTTTTTTTTTCTTCTTCTTAAAATTGACGCCATAGTCAAGAGTTGTTTTTTTCTTTTTAATAAATTTTATTTATATTCTAGATGTTATTAATTTTATAATAAATAGATTGTGATAATTAATTATCATATACAACTATGTCTCCCAATAAAATGAAAAATCTCAAATCATGTTCATCATGTAAAGTTTGTGGCATTGATAATGCTCAATTACATTATGGTACACTATGTTGTGTTTCATGTAAAATGTTCTTTCGGCGAAATGCTCATTTTGATCTAGTTGGTTAATATATTAATTTTAACTATGTTTCACTTAAAAAATAATTTTTTTTTTAACTTACTTAGAACGATAGAAAATGTGTTTCTCATGGTAAATGTGATATAACAATAAAAAGTCGAAAAACATGTCGATATTGTCGTTTAAAAAAATGTTTTACAGTTGGAATGGAAAAAGAATTATTACGTGCATCACATAATCGACAAGGTACACGTAATAAACAATCTATTAATGATAAAATAACTTGTGTAACTAATGTTATCCATCCAATTGATTTACTTCAAAATGATCGATCATTATTAACAAGTCAACAATGGTCATATTTATCAAATATAGTTAATTTATTTGATTCAAAATTTCCTATATCTAATATTCGTCAATTATTAGAGATTCAATCAACATATCCAATGAAAATGCGTTTAAAAATGGCTGAAACAAATATGTTACGTATTATTAATACAATGTATCAAGGTGTTTTACCATTTATTATAAATATATCACATTTTGGAAATTTATCATTAAATGATCAATCAGCATTAATTGAAAGAAATCTAAGAAATATTGGGGGCTATAGTGGTATTGTTATCAGTCGTGATGCAGATATTCATTCTAGTCCAATATTTAAAATTGGTTTTCCATTAATATATGGATCAAAAGTAATGGAAGATGCTATGAAAATTTATGAAAAGACTGACAGTGATGGTACATTAGTTAAATTATTAATGCCTACTTTGATATTCTCAACAGCTTGCGATCTTCTTATTCTAACAGATAAAAATGAAAACAGTAAGTAAAAACAAACACTAATCCTTTTCTTGGGTTTCATTGTTTTAATGAAACACGAATCTCGTCAAATGATTTTTTTTTTAATTTTATAGTTTGCTTATTAGTTAGATTTTACAAATTACAGATAAATTTCAATTATAAATCCATAGAAGTGAATCCTACGGGTTTGCTTTGCTTTGGACAAAATCCTGTTAATGATAATAGATTTATTAATGTTGCTTTATTTTGTTTTTTTTTTCATTTTTCTTTTCAATATATCTGTTATAAAAGCATTGAAATACGGATAAAAAAAAATCTTTCGTCATACACCTGTCAAGTGATTTTCTTGAATTAATTTCGTTTTTGCCGATTCTAATATTGTCAAATGAATTTATTAGTGAAAGTGAATCTAGATCAAATATGCTTGACTCACTATATATCAAATTTTATTATAATTAATTGATTGGTCATCGTTTTCAGGTGGTAACCAACTTAAGATGTAGGTTCATTATTTTCTGGCTTCACACACATAAATTAATCATTTATAATAATATGTTATATATACAGTCAATCATATTTGATCCATATTCATTTAGAGAAAATAGAAATTACAATTTTTATTATTTACATATATCATAGTTATAAGTGTGCTATAGAAGGTTCTTTCGAAATTGTCAGGATTGTGTGTGTTTTGAAGAATTAGTAAGCAAAACAACAGATTTTCAAGATTGCAATCGATCCCGTGCTAGGAATATTCTGAACCAACAAGAAATCACAAAGGTCAAAAGGACCATTTATTTTCGTTCTCAAATCGAAGCGTTATGTCAACTTGACCTCTCCCGAGCATGAAGTGAGAACACTAAACAGAAGTTTGTGCTCGATGCTTGCCAAGTCTGAATTATAATATATACACGAATGTTTTTTTTATTGTTTCTATATATGGGCTAAGTCAGCGAAAACGGGACATACACCCGTTGTATTTAAATGCAATTCTCTATCAGTATAGATTTTTTTGAGTGAATTTTTTTTGCATAGGCTTATGTAAAATTGTCTGCTCTTTCACATGGTTATTAATTAATTAAGAATTAACTAATTAAGAAGTAATTAGTGAATATCTCGAGAACAGAATGAGGAAAAAACTTGAAAACTTCAGGGTAGGCTCCAGGATATGAGCCGCATGTATGGTACAATTTTCACCGAGATCGAACTTCAAAAAGTTCCTTCCAAAAAAATCAACTTTTCAGAGCCTTTAGACAGTGCTGAAACGGAAATGTTTGTCTTAGTATTATTCTAGGGATTTCTACCATTAACATGAGCCCCTTGGAATCGATTTCGAACTTTTCAGTTTGCTACCAGAGCATTTGATTGGTAGTGAAGTCGTACTGAGTCACGTCGCTAATGCTGAATAGATTTGTTTTTTGAAAAACTTAGACATGCTGAAAGTAATTTTATACTGGGATTTGGTAGCCTTAGGAGTCGTGTCTAGTATCACGTATTAAGTTTTTGGTAATTGTGCAACACTTGGAAATTTTTAAAACCAAAGTATATCAAGTAACAGTTAATGTCGTTTTTGGTGTCACGTCGCTAATGCTGGTTTTTCGTTAATAACTCCTATGAGCAAAGCTCTAGAGTGTTGATTTTTTCATGGCATTTAGAACAAATAGAAACTCGTACAACATGCAAAAAATCACACATAAGCCAGCTGATAATTCCGAGACATCCATACTCCAAATTTGCGATGTCACGTCGCTAACGAATGATTTAGTCCATATATAGACAAATATAAAATAGCATGACATTATATTATTAATTATTCTGTTTTTCTGAAATTTTCCTAAAATAAAAGAAAAGCAAGAAAATGATTAATTTTCTAACTAATATTACATTTGTATGAATTTTGTGATAATGTTCATTTAGAACTTAACATCTCAACAAATGAATATCGTTTGTTAACAGATGAAAAACAAATATTAGATATACAAAATTTTTATACTGAAATATTATTTAAATATATGATTTTTCGATATGGTTATAAAGATGCAGCATTAAAATTTGCTGGACTTATTAAAACTTCTCTTGATCAAAGTATGTGTTCATTAAATGGTAGAGAAGCATTAAGACATAAACAATTAATGCAAACAATAGTCAAACAAACTGAACAGTCATTAACATTACAAGATGACATTATGATAAACTGAACTTATATTGAAAATATCTTTGATAGGTATTTTTAGAACAGTTATTATCTATTTTTTTTCTTGTTGTTGTTTTATTTGCCAGTGATTTTGGTTGAATTGTATCTCTGTTGTGTATATAATTTTATTAAAAAATAAAAAATGTCTTGAATTTCGTTTTTAGTCTTATTATATGATCATATGCATATGATATCTTTTATCTTGGTATTGTAGATCGAGCTTAGCTTTATCGTTTAGATAGATTTTTATTTTTATATTTTAATTAAAAGAAAAACCATTGTTATAAACTTAAGATTTAGTCGGTTAAGTAATGACATTAAGAAGATTAGACTATAAGGATTATTTTCATCTATTCACGATCAAAAAAAATAATCTAATTATTTATTTTATCAGCTTTTTTTTATTTGACTATAGTTAAGTAAATTAATATAGTCTTTTTTATAGCGAACAATTTAAAGTGCAGAAATATGTGCTGAATACTTTTGACTTTGAAAAGATGATTTATATTATATTTCATCTCGAGAAAATTACATTTGAAATTATAGTGTTCTTTAAATAGATTTATTATTGAAAATGAGTTGAAGTATTCAAATTAATTTTCCACTTGCGAGAGTATCTTTTGAGTAGAGATGCGCACAACCAAACATGAAACTTTACAGAGATCGAAATCACGAGAAACAATTCCGAGACCAGAATTGAAGTTTATAGTAAAATAATCTATGATTCGAAGAATTATTTTAGATGTCATATGAATAGATTCTCGAACAGTTTTCTTTGGGCCGTGATCAAAAAAACTTAGTCAAGTATATCTCTACTCCTGATATATTCCCTTTCAGTTTCAATGATTTTTAGCTTTTAGATACTGTATATAGTGTTCTAATAAAAATCCTAGAAGGATTTAGATTCCTATTGAGATGTAACTAAGCTATTGAATTTTTTTTTTAAAGTTGTCAAAACTCATATTTTCCAATTTCGATCTAAAACTTTGCACATATAAGACTTTTAACTAGACTAACTTCAATAAAACAAAAAAAAGTCAGAATTTTTGAACAAAGTCTCTTCTATATATGAAAACCTGGAGACTTTAAATAATAAACATATTAACAATTTAATAGGTTAGTCAAATCTTAATAGTACCTAAATTCTTTTAAGGCTTTTATTACAACACTAGATGATATCTATAGAAAATAAAAATCATGAAAACTGAAAGGGAATAGTTCAGGGAGATCTCCTTGCTACTAGAAATATTTGATTATAAAATTATAAAATAGATAGTTACCCTAGATAATGTTTTGTGGAACTCACATATATTTTCGCAGAATATAGTGAGTATAAGTTTTATGTTCAAGGTTTTGCGACTCCCTTCCTCTTCCCCTCCCTTACGGACAGGTCCCAATTACAGATCATAGCAACGTAGGTCCCCATTACAGACACCCCGTTACAGACACTCCCCATTACAGACCGTATCAACTTCGCCAAAGAAAGAAAAAATGTCTGTTCGAAATATAGAGATAAAAAAGACAGCGTTTTCTGATAATCGATTATTATTAGGAAAGAATTATTATCTTTTGGAGAATTTAAATATTGGGTATTTTGTGATTAGTATAATGAAACCAAAGAAGATATGTGAGTTTCACATTTCAGCCCCAGAGGGGCTGCGCTAACAAGCTTTTTTTATATAGAAAATATGTTTTACATATGAGTTATAAGTCTTTTTGCTTTAAATCATTGCACATAGTACTTATGATGTTTTCTTTTCAAATTTTAACTTAATAAAATATCAAATAATTTTCTTTTAAAGAAAACATATTAAGATATTGCTAATTTCATTTAATTAAAAGCACTAAATTTTATTGTTTTTGAACTGAATATATAAAAGACAATGCGTTTTCTATATATATATATATGTATCATTAATATTTTATTTAAACATTAGCAGAATCTATGAGATAATGATGTAATCATATTTGATTTTCTTGGCAAGAAAAGAGCACCATGTTCTCAAGTTATCCTTATTACGAAACGCAATCTAAAAGGAATATTAAAGTAACAAAGCAAAAACTTTCCTTCGTTCCTCGCCGTCAGACATGACCGATATAATTGCGAGATCAAAATCCACTGCAGGATTAGTGTCATATTTGTCTTTTACTTTTACGTCACACCCACTACAATATACTGCTATGTATATCTTGTATTAATAGTCGGTAGAAACTCATATGCCGAAACAAATTTTTACAATATTAATAGCTTCATTGTGTTTTCCATTTTGATTTCAGAAGAACTGCGCTAACAGTTGTTTTCAAATATATTGGAAAATAGACTTAACAATCTGACTTTCGTAAAAAGTTCTTTTTGTATATATGTGAAATAGACTTTTCTTATTCAAGATGGCAATCACTATCGAACCATGACAAAAAAGAGGAAACAAAATTCTTCTGAAATATTGTTATTTTGGTCATGAGACCTTTAATTCACACCAAATATATTCAATGTTCTCGAATGACAATATACGGCCTTGAACTGTAAATATGTTATTGTTGAAATAAGGCTCCACTATATGATCGATCGATGTAGATATGAAAAAGGAAGATTACAGATTACTTTTGTTATTAAACGGTTTCTCGATTGAAATATATGCACATTGTATTTATGTGGCATTTAACCAATCATTAAAGAAACAAAACGATTTGTCATTATTATAGAAAGAAACAATTACGAATAAAATTGTTATTTTACAAACAAAAATTCGCGAATATTACTTCTTTTTTTGTATAAATTCAGTAACTTTCTTTCTTTTAGCTGTTAATAAATTCGATCAATTTTCATAAGCAGTAAATAAAATGAGTATGTATTGGTTTATGAATTATAGGTTACAGGGTTTTTATTGAAATCGGAGATTATTGATGTTGGAAAAATATGTTTTTTTTTCGAAAGTAGAGCTTCACCTGAAAATAGTATAAATAAAATAAAAATAAATCAAACAGAATATTCCTTTCAGACAGAGATAAGCTTATGATATGAAAATGATTTATACAATTTCCTAAATATTTTCATGAAGTGATATACTGAATTTTTAACATTATGAATAATATTCTGCGACATTTGTATTTTTAATATTACTAGATCAGACCAAGACATATACACTTTGTCAGTTTTCAGAATCTAATAGCGTAAATTTTTTTGTCTTTAATATAAAATTCATAATTAGTATTATTTCCAGACGAATGTCGATACCTTGAAATCAAGAAAAAACATGTTTTCGATCCTCAAGCTCTAATGATATGATCACCAGTCATTTTCAATTAACAGTAAACATAGTTTTTATAATTTCCGCTTTTATATCTCAGTAATTTGATAATACACACTTGACTAACTTCACACCCTGAAACATTGTTTACAATCAGTCTTTAATTCGAAGGTATAGAATATTTCATCCACTTCAATTTACTGTCCAATCATATAATATACATATATTTACAAAAATATTGTCATCGAGTCTAAAAGTTAATGATTGTTAGTAATTCTTCGTATTAAGTCGAGAAAACCTTTTCGAAAAAGATTTCCACCAGCTAATGTATATATATAAAATGGCATACTACTTGCAATAAAAGCAAGAAGTATTTCAACATTATATAGAAATGTCTTTATAGCATCTTCTAATTCAGATTCAGTACCAAATGGTTTTAATGTAACATGAAATTTTTCAATTACTTGTGGAATACATAATATAGTTAAAAGAAATACTTGGATGATAAGCATACGAAGTAAATTACGGTCAATTTTTTTAGCATGTAATTCTTTTGGTGTCGAAGGCATATTTTTTAATCCAGAAATCGTATGATGTATACGATTATGAACATGATGGACATGGGAAATAGTTAACAGACCAAATATAATCATTAAGATCAATGGAATTATTATGGTTATAAATGAATATGTTAAATCATTGATCAGACGACATGATGCGCTTTTTCCATAGCATTTCAATGGTGCATCAGTAATATTAGCTTCATAACAATAAAGCATATAAATATAAGTAAGAATCGATAGAATCCCAGTGATTACTATTGTTCGTTTAATATTTTTCAAATTACTCATTTGTCGATAATGAATATTAAGGGATGATATTAACCATCGATCAATGGTAGCTAATGTAATCAACCATGTTGCCATTGTTCTTGTACTAAATACAATAAAAGCACGAGATTTACAAATCCAACTGATTGTAGTAGTTGGATCCTGGTGCCAACCAGCCAATATTCGAGTAGGTACACCAATTAAAATGGAAATAAGATCAATAAATGATGAAACCAGAAAAAGTAATGCACAGGGATTTGATCGAAGTGTTCGTTGTGATAATACTAAACAATTTAGAATATTTCCTACTACACCGACGATAAAAATACCAGGTGCTAAATATCGATTAAGTTGTTCTGACGTGTAATTTAATGACTCAATCAATGATGACATGATTAATACGAACTTCTTTTTGTTTAATAGTACAGCTTTTTAAAGAAAAAAGTTTTGCGACAAATTAGAAAATCTAAAATTTATATAAATACAATAATAATATGTAATAAAGTACGAATAATAAACAAATATCAACGTTTCACGAATGAAACACTGAAAATTTACTGTTTAATTGTTGAAGTTATTCATAAATTTTTATTGTAAGAAATAAAGTAAACTTTTTATGAGATACTATGATGCTTTTATGAATGAATATTTCTCAGAAAAAAAGCCAGTAGGTTTTTTTCAAAGAAAAGTCTAGTGACTAATGACTTTTAGCAATTTACTGCAAGATACTTTTTATTTCTTATTATTAAATCAAACCTTTTGAAAATAATTAATAAAAAAGCATGCTAGCAAAACTCCATCGAAGATGAAATGTACAGCTAACTTATATTCTTTGGACTCTTGATACTAATACAAAATACACAAAGTGACAATTTCTTCGAATACTATGGTTATTTTCAAAAATAAACGATCGTCAAAGAAGATATCCGTCTTATTCATGTTTACCTTTGAAACAGAAACTTTTTGTTTGACTTTTTGCTATTCGATTATTATTTTTCTTTTTCGTATATTTTATTAATCAATAAATAAACCTGTTGTACATATCCATCATATCTACAACAGGTCTCGACGCACTATTATATATTTTGATCAGCACACAAATACTAATCTCAATTATTTCCTAAAATTATACCTTATCTTAAATATAAATATTGCTCGGTGCACAAATAAAATAAAAATTTTTCACCATTTTTAGTTTCTTAACAAAAATTAATAATATCATCATCACTACGATAGTTCGATTTGAAATAACCAATAGTCATTTCAAGACTTTTGAAGAACAAAAAGTGAACATCAGGAGAGTGAAAAGCGTCTTTCATTTGGCGTATATATAAGTGTTATTATATTCTGGAAAATTACGTTTGAAGTTTCACACAATAGACTATATCTTCCATTTTAGATTAGCTTCAAGTTCTATCTGAAATCATCTCTGATCTTAGTGACTTCCGATAAAAATAAATAATAAAATAACACCTCATTTAGAGCTGCAAGATATATTCAGATTTCGGGAACAGATAATTTTCTGCATAGTATACGTAACTATCTAATACCGAAATAAACAAATTAATAGGATATTTTCGAGTTTTACTAACACTTAAGAAGTTAATTTCAAAGAAATTTTAGTGATTAATTATATAGCAAAAGAAAATGAAAGCAAACATTTTAAGACTATTTCTCTCCTTTTAAAGTAAAGGTAATGTGATGTAAAACCTTCAGCAATCGTAGAATTCCGAAGTAGTAATTATTCTTGTCAGTTTCAGCTTAATCGATCAAATTTTTGTCTTACTTTCGTCTTCACCCAAATAGATTGTCTGGTGACTTTAAGAATGAAAAAAAATCATTCATTTTCAAAAAATTATTTACATGGTTTGATATCCAGTTTATATATTATTTTATAGAGAATTAAGTTCTGAACAAAATGGAATAAATAACTTTAATTAACATTAGAAAATTCATTAAAAAAAGTTTAGAGTACCATTAACCTTGGGATACTAATAGACTACGCCGAAATAAATGTTCACTTTCATACTTCACCATGCGATTCAGAATCAAAGCTATTTTTCCAGAATCACTCAGAATCATCAATATCTACAAAATTGCTCAGATAAGAATCATGTTATAACAATAGTGGAAATCACATATTGTTTCAGCTCTTTGTTGTGTGTTTTAACATTTTAATAGTTTATCTATGTTCAACATTTAGTTGAAGAGTCGTCATTTTGATAGGAATCAAGATGATCTTCTACTTTATAAAGACAAAAAATACTGAACTTCTGGCTTTTGCTTAGAATACGATACGTAATATTCAAAAGGATTCAATTCAAATCTAAATAATTTTTAAACGTTAAATTAAAAATTAGTGTACATTTAAATCAAATAAACATACTAATAATAAAAGCGTTAGTGACGTTATCACAGTCAAAGTTGTCTTCATCGAGTATACTGTAAGAATGCGTTAATTATTCTTTTTATTTGACCTTTTATTGACAGATTTTTCATTGGTAAGACATTAAAATTGCGTTGTTTGTTCATAAGAAGTCTAAAATGAGGCGTATATTACGGAAAAAAAGGAAATTTTGTGATGAATCATCGAATTCCATTAGTTTCAGCCGGTACACAACCAAATAGAATGACGCAGAATCTTATGAAATCCTGCGGATCATTACATAAATAACTTGGGAATTTCATATCATAATATAAATCTCATTAAAATTTAATACCTAATGATCTGTCACATTACAACTTTAGTTGTAGCTGCATCTCTATCAAACAACAATGTTTTTTAGACTCTAATGTGATTTTATGGAATTCTGTTTGGCTTCATGTTGTTTTAAAAGATTTTCGGTGTAGAGATTCCATACATTCTTGAGCACTTGTAGGTCTGATACTTCCACATCGATGAATACAGAAAGATGTTCATAATTCTTAAATGATTCAATGAGTTTTAATGAAATCTATACTGTAGATATAGCTAGCATAAATTACGACATATTGAGGTGTAGAACAATACAGGAACATGACTCCTAAGTATTATAAACTACATTCTGACTAAAGCAATTTTAGCATAAATGATATCGATGATTAGCATCCATTGTACAGGGTATTCGCACAAAATTTAAGTTGTCTGATTCTCAACATGACTGTGATTTAAAGAGATCGAAACTTTTGATTAGCATTGCATATCAATATCTGTACACTATCTATTCATTATCACGCAATAAAAATCAATGGTTATTGCGTTCAATTTAACGAGCAATATATATTTTCAAAAAATGTGCTAGTAGCATGTCAATGTGAGATAAATGAAAGTATCAAAGAATAAAGATTTTCTACACATTGTAAAAGATAAAAATTAAAAAGCGTCTGACACTATTCAACGTTTTACTTCTGACAGGCATACAAGTCAGCTTCCTAACCTATATGATGCTTTAATTGACATCGAGTTTAATGAAAAGTCTTTGGAATAATCATTGATACTCTTAGTTTTGAATGAAAGACAAATACTAATAGTCTCTGTTAATTACATAGACTTATGTAATGTTGAAGACATGATGAATAATTTTTTGAGTAGTTTAGTAACATCTGTCTGAGTTCTTAACACGATAATTATTTCAAGGTATCCATTTTAATGCGAAGCAGTTTTTTAATCAAAATTCAGTCATTTATTGGAAAGAATTTTGCATTTAATAGAAAGTTTTTGTTACATATTTTATTTAAATTTTAAATGAAAAAATTTTATTCAATAAAAATACATAGATTTGTTAGTTGAAAATCGGTATACATACTTATTGTATTAAGAGAAATTTAGTTATTTTTTGTGATTGTCTTTGTTTTGCTTTTTTAAACCTAAAAATACATCCTTTGCTGCGAGAAGGTGCTATGCAAAATTTCAATGTAATTGCTATAGAAATAATATCTTTTCAAACATGAGATATCATATTGTTACGCCTGTACGATATCAGAACAAAAGAAAACGATGAAATCTAGGTATTTTATTGTGTTACACCAGCGCTAAGTGAAGAAAAGAAAAAAGAAATGTATAAGTTAAATCCCTAATTGGCAATCTTTATTTTATCTTGTCTCAAGTATATTTACTTATTAATAGTTTTTGTTTTATTCATATAATTTTTTTGCTCGAGCTTATACCAAATTTATTAGCTTTATGATTATATAATTTACTTTTATATTAATTATCAAACTTAGCAAAGACAGATTTGTCTTATGCCAACAAACTTCATGTGTATCTTATAAAGATCAAAAAACAATACAGTGATTATATCTCATTTGTTGCTGGTTGATTACTTTTTTTTATTAATTAACTTTTAAGTTTTAATTATGATTTATTTCAAAAAGTTTATTTGTTTTTAATCTAACGTATGGAATAGTAATAAAGTTAGTCATTACTGAAATCGGCGTGTAATATTTTGTTTGACTGCTCGAATTAAACCCATAAATGCATTTCGAAAAATACTTCCCCCAGCTAATGTATAAACGTAAAAGGGTATACTACTTGCAATAAAAGCAAGAAGTATTTCAATATTATATAGAAATACTTTAATAGCATCTGCTAATTCAGAATCACTATCAAACGGTTTGAATGTAATGTGAAATTTTTCAACTGCTTGTGGAATATATAATATAGTTAAAAGAAGTATTTGGATGATAAGCATGCGAAGTAAATGACGATCAACTTTTCTAAAGTGTAATTCTCTTATTGTTCGATGTGTGTTTGCTGATTTAGAAGGCTTATTTTGTATGCGACAATGAGCATGATGGACATTTGAAATAGTTAACAGACCAAATATAATCATTAAGATCAATGGAGTTACTATAGTGATACATGAATATGTTAAATCATTAGTTACACGACATGCTTTGCTTTTTCCATAGCATTTCAATGGTGCATCAGTAATATTAGCTTCATAACAATACAACATATTAGTATAAGTAAGAATCGATAGAATCACAATGATTAATATTTCTCGTTTAACATTTTTCAAATTACTCATTTGTCGACGATGAATATTAACGGATGATATTAACCATCGATCAATGGTAGCTAATGTAATCAACCATGTTGCCATTGTTCTTGTACTAAATACAATAAAAGCACGAGATTTACAAATCCAACTGATTGTAGTAGTTGGATCCTGGTGCCAACCAGCCAATATTCGAGTAGGTACACCAATTAAAATGGAAATAAGATCAATAAATGCTGAAACAAGAAAAAGTAATGCACACGTATTTGATCGAAGTGTTCGTTGTGATAATACTAAACAATTTAGAATATTTCCCACTGCACCGACGATAAAAATAATAAGTGCTAAATATCGATCGAGTTGTACTGAGATGTTATTTAATGACTCAATAAGATTCACATCTGATGATGATGTCATTGTTAAAAGATGCCTTTTTATTGAATAATAAAGAAATATAAGTGTTTGTTGATTGATGTATTTTCTGATTTACTGAATAATAATTTTAATATTGATCACTTAATACTAAAGTTACAAGCTTTTCTTTTTTAATGAAGATCTGTACTGTATAAAATTTGAGGTATCTAAATATAATTTTAAAAAAATAGTGACAGAAAATAAGAGAATAAAATATCTCTGTTATAAATTCATAACTAAATGATTTGCTGAGAAAGATAACAATTTTCTTTTTGAAGAAAATTAAAATACATGTCAATTAAGAAGAAACCGGTAGAAAAAGCGGTCATCATCTGCTGTGTTTCCAGTACTAATCTATGCTAAAAATAATTTACTTGCATAGTCTTTGTTAACTATCAAAAGAAGCTAATGTGTCTTATCCTTTAGTGTTCGAAGCTTAAGTTGCTTCATTATGTTGTCGAAGCATATTTTGAAAGATATTAAACAACGGAATTTATTGTTTAAATCAGCGAGTCATCCTTCTTATTCTCATCAAAATGGGTATGTGGCGAAAAGCAACGTGATGTAATGAAAGCAGCGTCTTTATTCATTAAAGAAACTACTCATATAATCCGAATCATGCTCTGATAGATTGTATGAAAGGTTGTTAAGAAAAGATTTTGTATTAGATAAATTGAATATGCGTATTTCTTAACATTAACTTTATATAATATGATTGTATTCAACAACGTTCTTGAATTTATTTGTTCTAGATTCTTGTTTTTCTTAATTGATCCGTCAACATTCTTTTTAAACTTCAAATTCAGACAAGATTTTTTTTTTACTGAACAAGAAAAAAATTATCTGCAATGTATGAAAAGATATTTAAGATTCTTTAAAATATTTGGTTTGAGTTAGAATATTATTCAAGACCAACATAACTATATTATGAATTCGAAAATAAATAGAAAATATTTCAATAAAGACTTATAGCAAAAATGGAAAAAAATTTATTTCAATAATAATTTCAATTGAAAATAAAAACTCACATAAGAATTCAGAGAATATGTTCTGAAATGATAAATGAAATAAAAGTTTTATTCATCAGTGTAGTTTTACTTATCAAAAGTATATACGAAGTTTGTTTCGATGTGATGTTAGAACTTAACGGATAATGTCATTGTATCATTGTGAAAACTACTTTGAAAGTGAGAAGAGAAAGCGATTGAGCTTATAAATGGCACATTGTCTAAGTATGCTTTAGAACGTGTGGGCTATGGTGCATTTTTTCCGCTATATAATTGTTCATGAATTATATGGATCAACTGCATAATTGCAATAATGAGCTATAATCATATCATGCAGAACGAATGCTAATTTTGTTTACAATTATAACTCAAATAAAACTTTTGATTTGATATTTCTCCAAGATTCAAGTCCTCGCACGTATTATAACTATGATCGAGATACATATTGATCGTTTTCTTTCGCCTATAATCGTCCGCTTGTAGTTTCAAAAATTTTATTTATATTCAAATTCGATTTAGGCAGCTCATTACTCAGTTTACAAAAAGTTTGTTTTCTTTTCATTCGAAGGACTCGTGCCTGATCTTCATAGCTAATGTCACGTAACTTATGCAGATATATCTCTCAACCATACGTATTCACTGTTACATGAGAACATTTAATTGTTATTTTATTTGATTTGATGAATAAAAGGTGTTCTATGCAAAGGATGTGTATGACTTATATGTTACTATTAAATGTGTGCATCTTGGATAGAAACTATTGTTGTTAACTCAATTATGAAGTCAAATTGTAGCTGAATTTAGAAAGTTTTCAAAAACAGTGTTATCAAAAATAGAGAATATTGACGACGAATAAGTCATTATCGATTTGATGTAGTCGATATAAAAAAGAAAAAGAAACACTACAAAAGTATGTTTGTTGTTTCTTTTCTTCTCAGCCATGAGCGTGCTAGATTTACAACATAGCTAATGAAGTTGTTTTTTTTCTCTTTTATCTTTGTAAAGGTCGTCTATTTCATCTTTGTGTCATTGAATTGATGATGCATCAAATTGGACGTACTCTTTTATTAGCAGTGACTTTTATGTTTTTTGTATTTTATAAAAAGGTTGAAGAAAAAGTAGGTCAGCGATGCAAGGGAAAACTCTTGTAACCAAATAATACAGGCTACAACTGAAATCACAAAAAAAAGAAGAACATAAAAATATTGCCTAGAGAGGCGATTATTATGTCATCAACATACGTTCGATCTATATGGATCTTATTAGAAAGTCAAAATTTGGTAATTCAAGCAAGAATCTTAAGCTGATGTCTGAATAACTGTATTCATTTCTCTAACACGTTTATTAAGCTCAAAGATAGCTAGACGACAAAACTTATTGTGCTATCTGCTCGTTCACCAAACAAAAATGTTTATTACTGTATGTTTTAACGGTCTGTGCTATACTAATGATTTAGTTTAAATCTGAAGAATGTATTTATTTTTCTTAACTTATCATCCACGAATCCTAAAGAAATCGTACAAACTTTTCGATCTAGAATTTGATATTTCTTGAGTTTATTATAATAGAAAAACTTTGCTTTGCTTCTCTTACAAGCCGTTCAAATAAATACATATTTTTGTATTACTAGTTTTAATTTTATCTATGAAAAAAAATGCCCGATAAAATTCTTTCTTTTGTGATGCTTGCCTTCATTATTAATGCATGTTCAGTTCTATCTGCATTCATGATTAACTGTTTTGTATTAAGACTAAAAAATCTATTTTGTTAAGAGAACATTGTAATTATACATCATTACTAAATAATTTGACTTATTCTTTGAGAACAATATTTGTTAATGATGAAAAAATTTCATAAAAAATGACAGTCAAAGTCATGCTCCCTAAGATATTTATTAGTTTCCTTCTGAATAAATTTTCATTTAAAAAGATATAGAGTACGTTCGATATCTATTGTGGTAAACACGATCTATGACCCTTAGAAAGCTATTCTTTGAGTCACGATATATCAAAAGCTTCAATCAAGCCTTATTGTTTTGTAAAATCTAGAGCAATCTTGGTACTCTGTTGTTTGATTAAGGAATTTTTAACCGACTTTTTTAATATCTAGAAAATGAACTATTTGAATAATTTCTCTTATATTTTTTACAATCAAATCAAAAAACGTTATTTAATTATCCTGTAATGAGCCGTGAAAATAGAATCGTTCATTTAGGTTCTTTAATGGACATCATTTCGATATTCTAGATAAGTTTAAAATATCAAGTTTTGCATAGAAGTACTTCCTTTACAATACTATATGGAGAATATCTAGATTAATACTAATACTGTTCTATGAAAGAAAAAGACTTTATAGAAGACTTGGTTTTAATAATGATCTATCAACATAGAGTAAATTATATATGTCAAACTTAAAATCAAAAAATCAATTATTCACTTTAAAAATTAGACAGTTCTTATATCGTATGTTTTCGAACAAAGTCAACTGTTTGATCCTTCATTGATAGTATACATATTTCTAATAATGACACAATGAAGTTATTGTTATACATAACGAATTGAAATATAACCATTCCATGATTATCAAAAATGCTTTCAATTTACTATTAAAATGGCTTATATACTTAATACGGCAGAAAAAAACTAGACTTTAGAAGTGCATACTTCAAATTTTGTTTGAAGTAGATGATGTGTCGTTTGTCTTCCTTGTAATTTCAGTCATTAAAGACTACATTTTACATTATAAATTCTTCTTCTCACAGAAGGTTCTCTTTAAATAAACGATGCACCATATATAATAAAAGACATCTGTCAATTAATTTATTTCTTGAAAAAATGAAACTTTAATTAGTATATTTGTATTAAATTATGTTTAGTTTTGAGAATTTTTAGTTGAAAAGATTACTAGACTGATGTCAACATTATTTTTCGATACTCGAAGTCATTAAAATATCTTCCCAAATTCTCAAAATTGTTTTGCTTTACTAAAAAATGCTTTTAATTAAAAACTATGGAAATAAATGGAACACAAAAGGACACTCTCTTGAAAATCTTGTATACTTGAACATAATAGAAGACCTGAATTTTAGTATAAATTCTTGAATCATTTATAGATACCTATGTAAAAAAATAGCAAACGAAAAATTAGATTAAAATTTATTTAAAAAATAGTTAAAATCATCTGTATGAAAAACAATGAATATAAATCTTGAGAATTAATTAACTATCAAATAATAAGTAATAGTATGTAGTACTAACAACATCATTTTTTTGTTTTTTATTCCTAATTATAACATTGTAAATTTTTGATCTTCAATGATCACTTTCAATCTAAGAAAAGGAGCTAACAAAATATGTCAATCAAAATAAACAATAATAAAATAATAATCGTCATAATGTATATTCTATAGATGTTGAAAGAAAATTAAAAATTGTTAACTGTACAACATGAACTGAAGCATAAACATGCATCAATATCATCATATTACTTTATGATATGAACACATGATTATGTTTGTTATTAATACTAGATACATTTTCCATTATTATTTTATAGTTTCATTAATGCTCAGGATATATATTCATGTTTTATATAATATTTATTTACACAGAAAGTAGAATAAGCTTTTCATGTTATTAATGACTCATCACATTGCATAATGATATTAATGCATGGTTATACTTCAGTTGATATTTATAGTTAATTATTTCTAGTATTCATGCAATATCTATACAGTATAATTCATATAAGACCGAAAATTTTCAACGTTATATTCAAAATAAAAAACATAAAACGTGCTTTTGTTACGATGGGAAAAAGTAACAATGCCATACTTCATCATACGTTAATAGTATATCATGAGTATATTAGTTTCAGTTCATTTTATATAACTCTGTCTGATAATAAAGTCGAAAGTCTTCATCGTACTTCTCGGTTTGATTACCAGTGGAGAAAGCTGAAGTACAAAATTTTTGGTTTTTCTCCAAATCATTTACT